GATCTGAGTACAAATACGGCTTACACGCCTACAGACTTGTAGTGGTCGCTGCCTGCCCGACGCCCGGCTTTCCTGTCGTGACCTCAATCCGTCTAGACCTCAAGGTCGTGGCTGACGCCAGACTTACTGGCGCGCGAGACACGGACCGCCCAAGTCGATATCTACCCACACGCTGTCCAACCAACCTTCAAGGCCGGCCCAGCCAATGAACGCTCTCTCTCTCTGTCTACTGGCCTGACTGCTGTCAAACCAGCACGTGGACCACGGCTGGCATCCTGGCTGTTCGTGTTCTCCTAAGTCAGACTTCTTCCATATATTCTCCGTTCCTCTGTGCACACAATATACTGTTCCTGCTACTCTGGCCTTTCCCAGACTTCTCCTCTCCTAAGTCACCATGGTCTGAAGATCGCAGTTGCTAGGGTTTAACTTACTTAACCCCCTGCTATAGACTCACGGGACCAATAGAGACGACCTGGTGCCCATCCCAAGTCTCACGCCGTCACCACGCCGCAAGGCGGCGTGAACATCGCCTTATCGTGAACACTACTTTCTCCTCCCCCTCCATATTTACCATTTTTGTTCTTTGTTTAAGTAGTCGCTGATAGTAGCCTCCTGTGTGAGAGTTCGAAAGCTCGGGGTAATACACCCATTTCTTCGTAATCATTCATCTTCTTTGCAACAAGAGTCTGGGAATCGCATATTCGCTTACAAGTTTCTGTTCAATATGATACGTTTTCACAATGGTGAGCTTACCAAGATCCCCGAAACGACTGCAGTTCAATAATCATATTCCAGTGAGCCCCATCCTCTTCATAAAATTATCTTCCTGGATGTCTCAGTTTTGCCAATCCGAGTATACAGAAAAGTCTTAATTGATACTTAGGCAAACAAATTCTCGTGGGACTCTCCGAACAAACAGAATGGCAGGATTCAGGTATTGGTAGGTTGGCGTGTAATATCGTCTAATTCAGTGCTAGAAATCCAGCACACTTGGAGGATGACGGTGGAGAAATAAATTTTTTTTCATTGTCAACGCATTGCCGTCATTTAAACTGGTCCGTCCATAGATTTCCTTTTGCCAATGTTCCTTACTACACGCTTACCTATCCATTGTGTTCGATAGGGAGGTCGCGCAAGCAGAGTAGTCTCATTGTTGAATGCGTGTCGGCATGTCTTTTCTAAGTTCATTCTCATTGCAATGGCCTGCAGATGTGTTACTGTGCATGTGAACACCGGTCAAGTATTTAATTCCCAACAGCCATATTTACAATTTTGTGACCTGGAGAGCAAGCCTGTTGCTTTGAGGAACATTGTTTTTTTCCATCCCATTCACCAATCGACATCGTAAAGCTCCACGTTAGCAGGACGGTGAATCTGTGTTTTGGGTTCGCCACCTTTAAGTTCCGCCAGTCAAAGGCATATTGGGACTTCGCCGGCTCGTTCTCAGTCTGACTGACGCTCAATGATCAATACTCACTTGAGCTTATCTGACGTTCGAACTGTAATCGAAAAATCGATCAAAATTAAG